AATGTGTCTATTGTGATAATTTTTTTAAAATTTAAATATTACCATATATTCTGATCGCACCTTACATATATGCACATATATATACACATAGTATTCATATACACATATAGAATCATGATAAATGTACACACTTGCAATAACTGAAATGCAAAAGTGCAGTTGAAATTTTTATTTTTTTCATGTCTTAGTTTTTATTGACAGATTTTCTTTTTTACTTGCTTCAGTCAGCTATTAAAACGTCGAGAAGTGTCAGTACCTTTAAAAATTGAACAGCTTTCTGAGGAATTGGATGCATGGAGAGCTTGTACACAGTTCACCAACCAGTGAGTGAAGATGATGTAAAAATTAGAAAACAGAGGAAGGGATTAATGTTACATTATAGACATAGCCTCATTATTGATTTTAACGGAATAATGAATCTTTGCAGTATATGCAGCAATAATTTATAATGATGTTTTCCTTGCCTTTTTAAAGTTTGTTGTTTTTCAATAATTTGTTAAAAGTTGATTTGCCTCCTCTTATAAAGGGGAAATAAATACTCATCAGAAACTATTTTTACCTAAATCTCAATAATTCTTTGATTCTATAAAATAAGGATTTAATATCTGTTGAAAATATAGATCATCAGAAGACTCTCCATACACACCCCCTTCTGATGTACAAAGAATGATTTATGCAACTTTATTAAAGAGATTAAAAGAAGAGTCACTAAAAAGAATTACTGGACCAGATTATGTGACTGGATCAAATCTTCCAAGTCATTCTGACATTCACATCTCTTGTCTTACAGGATCAAAAATCCAGGTACAGAATCATTGCAGATATACATTGTGCATTTCAATTGTATTTATGTGTTTATTTTTGAAACATTATCTTAAAATAAGCATAAACTAGATATAAGTAGGTAACTATAAATAGGTGTAGGGCCCAGTAAGAAAATATTGCCTTTAGAATAAATGAATTCTTTCCCCTTAAAAGAAATTCAGAGTCATTACACTACTATCATAGAAATGATTCATGTTATATGCACATACATATATGTAATTAGTTACAAATACGTTTTAAAATACATATAGGTCATATCCTAAAGGAAATTAAATAAGGGAGACAAAATATCAATCAACTGATACGAATGATTTTATCATAATAGATTAACTTTCTAACTTCTATGTGTTGTACAGGCATACAGTAATGAAAACTAATTGATATAAGGTATTGAAGTATTTCATGTGTTTTTGCACAAGTTACAGAACTTTTCAACTATGAAAAATTATTGGGCTGCATCGTTAGAGATGACTGATTCTGAGAGAATGGACCTTAATGTACATCAAATTAATAATAATGAATGATGCCAAGATGTCTCAGTGTGGCCCAGGCATAACATTATCTTGAAGAAATAGATATGACTTCATCAGCTTGGAGTTAGAACTAACTGTAGAAGCCCTAGTGAAGCAAACGCTGCTGAATCTCATGAAATGAAATGCAGCATACAGATTGAACCAAAAAGCTACATCTCCCAATAATACATACATTTTAATGAGTCACTCCTTATGTTTCTAATAGAATGTTAAAAATTACATTTCTAATGTTGACATTTCAGATCAGTGAGGAAGGTAGTTTTTTACACAGCCACTTAAAAAATGGAATAGCTGGATACATATGTAAATCTTACCTACAGTGTAGCTTGCCACTGCAAACCAAGACTTCATATATACCAGTGTGTTCCAAAACCCAGGTCACTTGTATAAACTTTGATTGCACATGTCTGTTCAGAAACAGAACGCCACAGCAGTATATAACTTATAACTACAAGAGAAAAACTATAGAATTCTTGGAAATGTCTTCAGCATTCACTGACCTCTATATATCATTTTAATATTTGGTAACTTCATGTCCCTTTTCTCCTCTTTTAAAGGTTCCTTTTCTGCATCTAGGTTAGCCAAATGTCCTAACAGATATGATCTAACCTCTCTATACCCAAACCGACACTCAGGGTAGGATCTATTAATTATCTCTTATGCAGTAAGGCACACATGACTGATAAATATGGAGTGCTACTCTCTGAGGAAATTTCTATTTCAACAGAAATTAATGTGTTTAGATTCTTATGCTGAGATTTGAAGTACCTACTGATCTGAAGTTGTCTACCTGCTCCTATGATGGATTTTCCAGTATTTAGAAATAACTGGCTAACAATGAAGTGCACTATTTTAATCGTGACTAAAAACCTGATAGTTTTAGAGCCTAATTACAAAAATAAATTTTTTGTTTCATTTTATGGTTTTTAAATCATGTTTTTCCTTCTAAGGGTTGGGTAATTTGCTTCAAATATTTTTTCATAACCACCAAGGCATACATAATAAGTGATATAACCAAATAGTAAATATGCCCTTAAGTCACATGACTGAGCAACATTTTAAATTAGATATATAGATAGATCGATCCATTCATCAATATTTTTCATTTTATATACAGCAGAATTGAAGTTTCTGGCTTTAGTAATTTGCCCAGATATTCTGACAAAAGCTACGTGATTAAGACAGAAATATATTTAAATCTACTACCAAGTTATAAGCACTTTTTATAAAATAAGTTAACTTTGTGAAAACTAGTAGATTTACAATACCTGTTAGCATTGGTAGCAATACTGTACACAAAGAATTCAAATTACACAGTGAAACTTTGTTTTTACAGATATCATGGAATAATGATATAATATTAAGATATCTGAAAATATTTTTATATTTGATAGCAGCTCATAAAAACAGATTTTTCTCATATTCCTGAACTCTCTATTATCATGGTTTAAATGTCACTAGGGAGTTTTACTACAGAGATTCTGTGTCTAGGAACTTAAAATGTTATGAATTTATAATTTCACCTTTTCTCAACTTTTACTGTGTGCAGGGCCCTGTGTTTTTCCTGGAAGATGGGAAATCTGCTATCTCATTGAATGATGCTTTGATGTGGGCAAAGGTGAATCCATTCTCACCTTTAGGAACTGGAATCCGACTCAATCCATTTTGACAGACGCTTTTTCTCCACGCTTGTTTTTTTACAAGAAGAACTTTTGTGAGTTAGTACTACCTTAATCTTGGTTGTCCAAGAGCCAAAGGTTGGGAGAAAGCTTGGGGATTGGGCAACATGGGGAATAACAGTTAATTTTATCCACTGATTTCAAAAATAAAATATTTGTATAATTTAAAGAAGAGTGGGTGTCTCCTTTATAAATTGGAATAGCCACATTTAGGAGAAAGATAATATTTAAATATGAAGGACTGAATATTCTAAAAAGTATGTAAGTTTCACAAAGCATAAAAAGTATCAAAATACTACATTGCTGAAATTGTGAAACATAAAATAGTGCACCACCTAGACTCATTCTTGGTATATAGCAAGAACTTAGGGCATATTTGAATGACTGAATGTCTAGAAATATCAAAATGTACAGTGTACACAATTGATCTTCAATTAAACACTCATATTTTTCTTTATAAAGTATATAGTAAACAACTTTTTCATACTTAATGAGTTAATGTATTTAATATCATTATTTACCTAATAAACTTTAGTTGAGTGCTATTAATGTTCTTTTAAACATAATGTGATGAAAATTAGTTTTGAATATATTTGTATAAGAAAATAAGATGCTTGTTGAATTTTAAATATTTTGCGTGAATTTAATTCTTTAAATACTTATTAAAATAGTATATATTATGTCTCTATTTACCATATTTATCACATTAACCACTCCTAATTTCTAAAAAAGACAGGCTAAAATTCTATGTCACTAACTGCAATAAATAGTAGAAAGGAGAATATCCACAACTCAGTGATGCCATGGGTAAAATGTACCTGGAGAATGTTTTTAAACTCTTAGTTACATTTGTAAGTAAGTTTTTCTTAGGTGAAGAGAACAATTAATTGACATTATATGTATTAAATGCCTCCAAAATGGTACTCTAAATACTACTCTTTCAGTTTTATATTAAAATAGTCACATAGGCCTATCTTTTTTGTGCTTTAAATACTTTAAATGATATTATTAATCTTAACTTATGCATATAAAACAATCACCTTCTTTCTGCATTTTAATGAATCCAGAGAAATAATATTCATAAAATAAGGGAAAAAATGGGGCAAATTATTAACACATGAAAACAATGAAAAGTGACCTAATTTCTGTCTAAAATGTAAATTGAATTCAGCTAGCATTCTACTATTCTTTGACTTATACAATGTTCTATAACTTAATTATAACTATTAATTCTTCATAAAGTTACAGAGATGTCAGTCTGGAGATATAGCAGAGTGTTTGCTTAGCATGGTCCTGAGTTCAATCTCTGGCAATACAAAAAATATGTATGTGTGTGTGTGTGTGTGTGTGTGTGTGTGAGAGAGAGAATAATTTGACTGTGTCAACCTATATACATATTGTGCCTTAATATTAAAAACAAAAAATTTATAAAAAGATTTTTCATGGTTATATTTCATATGCATGAATACCCAAAAACTTTGAAGTTATTTAACTATTTATAGATGTCCGTATTAGCAATAATGTGGGCAAATTATTTTGCAGCTTTCAATGTGCCTTGATGAAGGACAAATCTCATTAGACAATGATTTTTAAAGCATTAGAAAAATATTTTGCCTACCAGAGCTACAAGGAGGTTGCCAAATTTAAACATCAAAATGAGTGGCATCTTGTGAAAATATAGAATTTTTATGTCAATCAAAATAAATGCTACACTTGATCTTAGTCAAAAGGCCGAGAAGTGATAATCAAAATAAATGAAGTATATATTTTTTCATGAAATCACCAAGAAATATCCAGGAATGTGTTTGCAATAGAGCAATGACAGTATTTGTCTTCACAACAAGAAAATTTATATTTGGAGGATTTTAGTTCAAAAGGCATTTTCAGCATAGTAAAAGCCTCACAATTATTTGTAAAATTCAGTGTTTCACATTAGGTGCAACCAGTAATAAAAAAGGACACCTTTATAGTGAACCCTTAATGTTTATTTGCCAAATCTTTGAGATGTTTGTTTCTAAATTATTGAAATATGTGCTTTCATGCTTAAATACTGTATGCCTGAGCTATAAGATGAAATGTCATTACCTAGATTTATATATATAAATATATATATATACCTAGATTTATATATATATATTGCGAGCCATTGAAGCTTAATAAATGCTGCCATTAAAACCTGCTAGGAAGAGCAGAAGTCTCATCCCCAAATAGTAAGTGCTGAGCCAATCAGCCAAGACAGGAAGGGATATTTGACTTATTATCCCATTCAGAAAGCTAGGAAAATCACTTTACCAATTTGTTTAAGAAACTGATCTCGATCTGTAAAAAGCACTAACTCCTACATACTCCAAAAGTGGTGGAAAAGAAGAGTGCTTACTAATTAACATGAACGGCCTATCACAGTAATGAGAAATTGCAGATTAAGGAAGTGCTGCCGCTACTGGGACTACTGTAGCTCCTAGAAAAGTTCATTGCTTCCTTCTGTCAAGTCCCCTTTATGAAGTAAACCGTCTTCCTCAGTCATGCCTGTGCTGTTGGCTTCTGTTGACAGAATACATCCTCAAGAAGTTATTGAGGTGAGCTTTCCTCATATTTGTAATCAGACTAGAGACTGGTTCCTATTTTCCACAATCTCCATAGGTTGCACGGAATCTTGGGAGCTTACCACAGTGAGGCCATGAGTGATCAGTTTCTTTGGGAGACTGAAGACACAACTAAGAGGAAAAGAATATATATACTTTATATATATTTCTTTTGTATATATATAATTTGACTGCTTTCCCAAGCCCAATCCTTTCCTATGTATCTTTTCCAAAACTATCAAAGATTGTTGTTAGAACCTTTTCTTAAGGAACTATACTTTATTGGTTGAAAATATTATTCTTACAATGATTGTCCCATTACAATGCAAGACAACAGGTCAATTGCTATCTCTGGTTAAAATGTATTCAAATTAGATCTCTTAGAAAAACCTGGACTTTGAACATATGCCAAAGAAATTATCTGTATGCAAGTTCTCTTTAAATTCTTTTCCTAAACATAATATATTCAAAATATAAAATTTAACAAGAAAATCTCTGAAGGTAATGTTAATAAAACATTTTAACCTTCATAAAAGCAGAAAAACTGGTAAGTGTGGCACACCACATTAATTGTGGGATTCGCTGTTAGTAATATTAGTCTTGCAAGTCAAATGAGGCTGCTAATGAAGTGGCATTAAAACATGAATAATTACAGTTAAAGAATATTTTGCATATATGAATATACAATTACCAAATGTGGAGATAATTAGTCTTACAGGGTAGCAACCTGTTTTTACTTCTTTTCAGTGAAAATATGGGACACAGCAATAATCAATCTTTTTTTTATTTGAACTAAGTGGATGACTAGACATCAAAACCAGATTACAAGAAGAGCGTGATTTTCCTTTCCCACAACTTATTATCAACAGGAGGGACTTATTCTTTGAAAATGGCTTAAATCAAGCTATTCATAGAAATGAGCAAGAGTTTCTATGGACCAATGTGTACTAGAAATCATTTAGAACACATTTTTATTAGTGAATTCTCATGAAGCAAATATATTACAAACCATACTCACTATTCCTACAAAATTTATAAAAAAAGAATTTGACTCACCATAGTGAATTATGTTTAATGGTATCTTTAAAATTAGTTTGCCTCATTCTGTCCCACTTTATTTGATTTTGTATCTTCAGCAGTACCAAGCATGGGTAGTTAATAAATAGCTATTGAATTGAAAAAGAAACCACCTCTATCCCAATTATGGATAGGACAACACATTAAGTTATTTATTGTTGAAATACATGCAAGAGTAGGTGATTATATCTCAGTAGTGTGGCAAGAGATTGTGACACCACTTCTTTAAAGCCCCTTGACAGTGCCTCTCAAGATTTGTTTTCCATTTTTCTGATAGGTTTCAGAACAGATGCATAAGGTCATTTTTCAGCTTGCTTCACAGGAATTTCTTTATGTGCTTTACCACCACTGCCTGTCTTTGCTGGAACATTTAAACAAAGTTATAATAAATTCATGTTATTAAATACATAAGCCGTAATGTATATAATATATAATAATATAAATATATGCACAGTGATTGGCAAAGGCCGAGCACAGGTTCATCTAAATGCCTGTAAATAGGACTTATTCAAATCATGCAGTATAGTAGTCATGGATAAAAATCATCTGAGTGTCATCCACCTCTAAAAGTCATCAAGAGTGTCCAGAAATACCCAGGGCTTATTTTGGTGCAAGTGATACCAAATAAGACACCGCTATTTTTAGATGTTGCCTCAGAAAGCAGCTGAGGCAACAGTGGCACGATTTGGAACTCAGATTTGGCAAATACACATGATTCATAACACAGTTTATGGAACTCTGATGACACTGAGGCGTCCAAGCGAGCTACTCAGACTCCAGGTCACTTAGTTCTAATCTGAGAGGCAACTAAGCAACCTATCTTCCTTTGACCTAGAATATCGTTAAATACCAGATTTAGATACTTAAGTCAAGGAACTTGCAAGATAAAAACATTTTTAAAAGCAAAACTGGCAAGCTACATTACATTTTATTTTGGCCACTCTGTTTGGTAGTTAGAAGACTTTCAAGGGAACAGTCTGTGATTTCAGTGCTATCATATGCAATCTTAAATACTAACGTTTCTCCCGTCTAGTGTTCCTACCTCTCCTTTTCCTATTAACTTGCAAATTGTGGTATGTGACTAGACTAATTATTCTCCTCATTTATCAGAAACAACTGAAAGAGAATCCCTTTAACAAATTTAGAAAAAAAATTTTCATGCTTAACAAAACTGCCTCATTCATACAATTACCAAAATCCAATTCACACCATCCATTAATTCCCTGTGTGTCTAGACTAAGAGAATCCAATTATGTGGGACAAAATTGAGAGAAGTAAAACAATAAATGTGAACTCACAGCCCCATCCTGATCTGCCTTAGGGATTGAAGGTTCCTTTCCATAAGCCCATCAACCAGTTTGAAAAGGAAAGAAAACCACTGGAGTAAAAGAAAAACTGAAAAGAGCATAGAAATCATAAAAGAGAGTCCTCTGCGAATACAATATGGAGGAGTTAAAACAATATATCATTAAAACTATAAAAAGCTGATGCAGGAGGATCAGGAGTTTGAGGCTGGCTTGTGCTACACAGCAAGACTGGCCTGGACTACGTAGTGAGATAGAACAAAAATCCATTCTATTTGGAATCCTCATCTGAATAATATAATGCAGTTTTTCTAATTATAGCATTCATATGAGCTTTGAAAAGTTTCCTATCTTTAGCAGTTTACAGAGCAGCAGCGGGCACTGCCTTGTGTGATGCATCTCCTTTTTCACAGAAAGGACTCCATGCTGCGACTCACTGCCACGTCTTTGCACCTTTTCCTTGAAGATCAAACCCCGTCCCATCTGCAGTCAGATCCAGTTCACCATAAGAGAAAAGAGGCAAGCCAGTGAGAAAACCAAAATCAAAACTCAAATGGGTCCAGGAGGGGCAGCTGGGTGTGACTTCGATTAATGCCTGCCCCCTTCGACCTATTAAAGGAGAGCAGTGTACCAATGTAATACATAATTTTAGACTGAATGTGAGCCCACACTAACATCTGAAGTATTTTAAGACTTTAAGTGAGTAAAGTAAAACAAAAAATCGATTTTCACAGACAAAAAATTAAAACAAAAACTTACATGAAGGTGCAACTGTCTCCTTTGAAACTGTTGGATATCTACACCCAGAGCACCGGGGAGGAAGGTGATCCAGAGTACTTTCTCCCACACTAGGTTTGACATCAAACCACCCTATAAACACGAAATTATTTGTTGAAACGTTAGATTAAACATTGTCAAAATAAGACCATAATTGAAAAACTAATCAAATTAAACATTTTTCTTATATTCCTAACAACAAATAAATAAGTTAATAAACCACTCTCCACATTGTTCACAATCTTTGATGCACAAAAGTTATTTTAAAAAGTTATTTTAAAGGTACTATTCTATGTTCCTATCAGTTTTGGATGCATTATGTTCAATAATTCTATATAGGAAGGTGAGCAAATCATAAATTCAATTGAATTATGTTGAATTTTTAGAATGAATATATTTCAAAAGTGTAGATAGATAGATAGATAGGTAAGCTAGTACCCTGAAACTCTCTACTATCTCTCCCAGATTTGATCCTAAAAGGATGACATTACCCTGACTATTATAGTCATACATTGGTTTTACTTATTTTTACATCTAAGTAAAATTATAGAGTGCCTATTGCAATTTTACAAATATGTTTATACTATAAATATATTGTCTTAAAATTAACTCAGCCTATACATTGCACTATTTGGGCAATTTTTCTTCGCTTCTGAAGGTGGTTTCATCTTCTGTAGCTCACTTCTCACTGAGGTCTGAAGCAATATCTAAGGTAATCCTTTTCATCTGTCACACGCTGTGAGGCCTAAACAAATCTCTGATTAGTAACATTCCTATAATTATCACTATTAATTACTTTGGCAACAGATGAGAAACTTTTGCACTCCGCAGTTTCAAGAATCAAGATTAGTAGCCAGGCATAGTCATGCACACCTGTGATCTTAGCACTCTAGGAGACCGAGGCAAGAAGATTCCAAGTTTAAACTCAACCTGCGCAATCTAGGATTTTGTGAGATCTTGCTTCAAAAAAAAAAAAAAAAGGCAGAAATGAGCTAGAGAAGCAGCTCAGTCTGAAGGTCCTGGGACGTGTGGGGTTATCAAGACCAGATACAGGGTACTGCTCAGAAATAGGAAGAATTGAGGGGTTGAGGTGATTGTGGCTGAAGAGGAGGTATATTCAAAAGATGACGGAGATAAGGTTAGCTCTGCAAAGATGACTTTTAAATGTAAGAAAAAATAATGAGAATGATTTGTAGAGTTAAAAGTAACCTGACAGAATTTAAATGCTGGATGAAGAAAATAATTTAAGTGAGGTGTGCAGGTAACAGAAAGTGATGAGAGTCATAGTGTTATTTTTTTTGTAGTTTGAGGAAATGAGGAAATACATTGATTTTAGACTAAGATAAATAGACCTGTTAAAATTTCTAATACAGCACTAAAAAGACTGTAATGCTAAAAGTTTCAAAATTTGTACCAGAAAACAATGCCTGTGGGGGAAAAAAAAAGTCAGTCCAAAAATAAGAAAAAGAGAATAAAATCTTCAACATAATAGACCTGAAAGCAAATATATAATAACAGGCATAAGCAGATTCATAACAGCAGATTTGCTGTGAGTAAAATAACAAAGGTCCCTGCAACAGGATACTTCATACAACAAATCGGGAACTTATGAAGTATCAGTGCTTAATTATAAAGTAATAGTAATTAAGACAGCATCAGTGTTGAAGCGGCTCACATGCAGAGTTGAATAGAGAGCTAAGAAACAGACCCATGTATACACAGAAACTTGCAGCATAAGACAGCATACAAATGAGTGGGAAAGAATAGACTTTTCAGAAAGTGCTACACAAACGGTTGTTCATATGAATTGCAAATAAATTAAGAGCTTAAAAGGGAAAAGTTTATAATGCCATGGTGGAAACAGTCCGACTACAAACTTTGTATTCAGTCATCATTTTGGCCCTACCAAATCATTACAAGTCTCATCAGTTATGACAGTAGCCGTTTTATCTCACTGCAGATGTCTGGGTTCTCTATGTAAGTTGTCTCAAGCTGAAATCAAAGCGTCAGCAGGGCTGCATTTTTTTCTGGAAGCTTGGAGGATGAATCCCCTTGCAAGCTCACTCAGGTCGTTTAGCAGAAGGCAATTCCGGGCATTTGTGGGACTGAGACTCGTGTTCCTCTGCTAGTGTCAGCCAAGTGTCGTTCTTTGATCCCAGAAGCCAGGCCACATGCTTTCCGAAGCTCTCCACAGCAATGACAGGTTGATACCCTCCGGGTTACACTTCAAACCTCTCTTCTTCTACACCTTTCTAATTCCGGCTGGAGAAAGATCTTTGCTTGTGAGGGCTCATGTGATTAGACTGGTTCCATCTGAATAATCCAGTTTATACTTCCTATGTTAAAGTCCATACTCTCAAGTTTTTCTACAAAGGCTCCTTTGCCATGTAATGTAACATTACATGTAACACTGTTGCAGAGATTAGTACAGATAATCTGGGGACCCATTTTGCTTACTACAAAGTTCAATAAAACTAGGAAAAATGTAAGAATGATGTAAGAATAACAAATAAATTGTATGCATGGATAAAACCAATAATTTAATCAAGAAATTATAAACCAAGTCAGCAGGACAGTACTCTTGGATGAGAGTGTAGTGAGTTGACCAAAGAAAGATATGCAGTAATATTCTATTTCTTAAAACCCATAAGATACTCTATGCAATGTTGTTAGTCTTTTTTAAATCATGTTTGTAAATTATACAGGATTACATACATGTGTAATACATAGTAAAATTGCAATGTTGTGAAACATACAAAGTTTCAATATAAAATTCCACAAAAGGACTAGTAACCTGAATTCTTTACTTACAAATTACAGTTAGAGCCAAAAATCTGAACAAATTAAGGAAGACAAACAAAAAACAGGAGATAGAAAAATAGAGTAAGGCAAGACAGAATCCAAAGTCTCTCTCAATTTAGGGCAGAGTACAGTAGAAGGTAAAGTTGTTCCTTTTCTCTCCTTCCATAGACCATCTAGAAAATGCTTTTTCAGAAAACAGAATTCAAAGGGGAGAGAAACCATAATCGCCTATCACTGCCTCCTTTTCTGAATGGTTTGAGAACCGCGGAAATGAGGGGTTCCCTAGCTGTCTGGAGTCAAGAGACATGAACGGGTGTGGTAAGTAAAGTGCTAGAAAACATAAAGGCGGGTCATTTGAGTCTCGGATGATGGCAGGTGCTCCGGCTGCTCTGGTAATTAATTCAGTGGTACCTCCAGAAAGGTGCCACTAGCTGCTCCAACCTATCCACCCTCCTTTCACCAAGGATGCTGTGCAAAAGATAGCTCTGCCCATTCTCTAGTGGGCAGAGTGAATCATGGCAATCCAGCTTTTCCCCCAAAGGACTTATATTTTGAAACATTCCTATCCTCTTGAGTTACTTCAGTTGATATGTGAACTTATATCAACAAAAGTTCACTTAAATAAATTGGCAAACATTTTTTTCTAAAATGAAGTCTCTATATCCTATGTTAACTTGTGCTTTCATCAAAAAGAATGAATTAAAAGCCATCCAGTGCTAGTAAACCATTCTACTCCTAACACATGAGAGGCCTCTTTCCTTTTAGCCGGTGATGGAAGGCAGAACTGGGCCCATTGTGTGCTTTTCTTTCATCTGTGCTTGATTTGCCTCATTCAGCTTGAAAGAACTCAGCTTTTCCCAAGGAAAACTTACCTGGATTCAATTTTCTGCTTAATTTTCTTTGCAACATTTGCAAAAGTAAGAGGAACTCTACTTTCAGTTCATTGCTGAGTGTGTTGGGATTGCTTATTAATTCCGTTAACCTGATGTTATCTTTAATAGACTTTGAAGCTGTAGACCTGGGAACCAGAGGTAAACGCATCTGGTAACTATAGTCTGTGAAATTCACGATGTCCTCCTGGATGTTTCTAATTCTGTAAATACAAAATATCGTTGACAAGGCACATTTTTGGTAATGAGATTTGTATTATCAAAATTTCAGATTGTATTACTAGAAAATTTGAAATAACTTACTCTCGATGTGTTAGCAAAGTATAAACTTCCTGTATCAATATTTCAGGTACTCCAGGTTTACAATGAATTGTTCCATGGATTAGTTCATTAGATAATTTAAGTTTCTTTTTTGCCAGAAACTTTAATAGAAAGACAACATTTCCATCACAAAAAATTCCACAAAAATCACCAACTACTATGATTAACCCCCCTTGTATCTCAACTAATTTTCTGATTAACATGTTAATTATCAAAAAATGATATATTATTATTTAACAAGAGAAACCATTATATCTCACACTAATTGAAGTGAGTATGCTCAGTTTCATGGCATAACAAGTTTCGTGTTTCATGACATAAACAAGAAACAAGCTCATTTTCATGACATAAACAAGAGACTTGATTAAATTTAAATACCCTTTCCAGACACGGGAACAAGCTGCCCACTCCATAGCACTGTATCTTAATATATTCATACACACACATAAATACCCGTGCACTCGGAATAAACCCTTTAAAACAAATTTAACAGTAAATGGTTCCTAATTTACCTTCTCTAATTGTGCCCAGTTATCCAACTTGACTTTTAAAGAGGTTCCATTTTCAAAGTATGATAATTTAAGGTCCCAGGGATAATATATACAGAATATTTCTGCAATCAGGAAGCCATTTGAAAAATCTCTGATCCATAGCAATAAGGAAATGAAATAAAGTGTGGTTAATAATACAGTTTACATTAGAATTAATGAAAACCAACCTAATATTCCATGCTGACCAAAAAAATTGTAAAATTTGTTCTGTTGGATCATTGCTCTGGAAAAGTACTGTTACATAATAACATTTTGCTGAGACTATACACACAACAGAGGCTTTGGTGTTCTTTTAAGGAACCCAAATGTGAATTTGAGCAAGATCTGCAGGTGATTCACAAGCCCACTGGAAGTTTCAGGTGCATCTTCGAATGGTATATCTAATACCAAGATTAGTAAAACCAGAGTCCCTCCTGCAAAAGATGTGTGGCCTTAACGTTTGCAAAATTCAGTTTACTTTCTCAGAGCATATATTAACTGTCGGTTACGTTCAGGGTGGCCATCCTTAAATAGCAAGCTTCTAAAATCCCTGATAACCCTCAGACCAGATGTCATTTCTATAGGAGGGCAGATCACTATTCAGAAACTAAAAGTCAGTCGCCCTGAAGGAAGAGCCTTGACTATTTTATTGTTTGTAATAGTAAAGCACTCCATATTAGTTTGTCTACGATTCAGTGATTAGTTAAGCAAATGAACATGTTTCATCGTATTTTTAAGTCTTAAAGCCTTTCTTAAGCTCCTTAAGAGTCTTCGTGTGTGACGAGAGGGCGGGGTGTCGATCTGGGACAGAACCTGGGCCAGGGCGGGCGGCCCGAGGGCCGGAGGGCTCTGCCCGGGGCGGCCTGCGGAGGGAAGGCCCGGCGCCCCGCCTAGGCGGTCTGGGCCTGCTCGCCCCAGCACCTGCTGATGTTCCTGGGGAAGAAGCTGAGGTTCAGGCCCTGGAGCCAGCGCAGCACGGAACGCGACACGCGGGAGTTCTTCGGAGGATGCGGATAGACCACACACTTCCTCGGCTTCCCTCGGATCGAAGCGGGAGGCTGTAGCGAAAGCGCCGGCGACTTGGTCTGGGCTGCCGCCGGCGGCGCTAAACACTCTTCTGCCTGGCCGGCGGCAGCCATGGTGCTCTTGTGGTTCCTATGGCAACTGCGGCGGCAGGGCGGGGTCTCGAGGCGGAGGGGCGGGGTCTCGAGGCGGAGGGGCGGGGTCTCGAGGCGGAGGGGCGGGGTCTCGAGGCGGAGGGGCGGGGTCTCGAGGCGGAGGGGAGGGGCCCGGCGCCCTTGCACCACCTGGTGCCTGGGGGCGACAGGTAAGGGTCGTTGGGCCCCGGAATTCCGGGTCCCACAGGCCCTGCATGGCCTAGTAGCCTAATCCTTGAGCGGAGCTTTCAGTCTCAGTTTTAATTGGTTTTACTAGCAACCAATTTAGGGCTTTATTTTTTTATCTTCCTGGTTCATGAATTTTGTATTTTAAATAAAGTGGTTTCTGACCAGCCAACAGTCTGAACTCACTCAAGCATTTTGAGGAGGGGTATGACAATCTCCAGAGGACAAAAATGTATTTGAGAACTGGAGACCATAAACGAAGAGGTGGAGGGGGGCTTCATAAAATAACACAACTATTTCCTTAATTATTACATCAAGGGGATATAAAAATGACGAAATTGAGCACAATTTGTAGGTTAGATTTTCTACTTCATGAGCATGCCCTGTTATGCATGATTCATTCATTCATTCAACAAACATCTGAGTCCCTACTATGTGCCAGGAACCCATCCAATCCCTTAGTATTTATCAGTGAAGGACCCATTAAAAAATGGTGATCACAGCGTGGACATAGGAATTATAAATTAAAATATTTACACAAGAGAAATTATTAAAGTCCTTTAAACATTTCTGCAGCAAAAATGCATGTAATGTGGAAAGTACATACACATTCCAAAAGATGAAGCATGGGATGGTCTTGCAGGAGCTGTATACTTTGTTGAATACTAATGTATATGTTTATTAGTAAAGTAAAACAATGCAAATCTGTAAATGGTTAAAAAAAAAGAAGAAAAAACTGCAAATTTTTTTTCTTTACCCAATGAAATTTTTCATGAATGATTCAATCATGCAATAAACTTTTTTGAGAAGCCATCCCAAGCCGTAACTAGATCCTCATTACCCAATGAGGTAGCCACCACAACATAAACTCAGATCAATCTAAATAAAATAAATCTCAGTAACACTGGCTACAATTCAACTGTTGAATAGCCACACATGGCTAGTGATTATCTTATTGGATCTCACAGATACTGCACTTTTCCATCATTACTGAAGTTCTATCTGACAGCTGTACACTGGAATCTTAACAAGAGTCACAGATACAATTATCAGTGAAAGGCTACACTAAAAATCTTACCATGGTAAAAATGGGTTAGAACAAGGGTGAAACAAATAATATGGAAGCCTAGATGCCTTGAAGTCCTCTCAGAAGAGTTGATCTTTGAATTTGATCTCAAAAGGCAGAATTTTAAATTGGTTAGGACATAGACTTTGGAAGACTTCAACTATATTTGTAAAATATGGAAATAAATATTATAAGCCTTACAGGGTTGTTGTGAGGATTAAATAAATGAGTTCTATACATAAAGAGCCTAGAGTAACATGCTGGACAGTGTGCTTATTGAGTATAAAATGTTTCTAAAATTATTTCTAAGATGAACTTAAGAGGGACATGGATAATTCCACACAGAATGACTAATGTGAGCAAAGATGTAGAGATGTAATAATTTTTTTTAAATGAGTTTCAGGAAAGAACAAATAACTTATTAGGATGAGAGAAAGTGTTTAAGCACTAGCAGAAAGATAGGTTAGGGCTACAGATTGGAATTCAGGTTTGAAGTCCTGCTATAGAGGGAGACCATTTTCCCATAAGTGTGCTGTTAGGTAACTGTATCTCTGATGTGAATACACTCGTCTGTGGTCTAAGATGCTGGAGCTGGAATTACACAATGCAATTTCTCCTTTGCTAAGGATTTTAGTAAGTGGTGCTAACAGCGGGGACTAAAGAGAAAGATGAGCAGGCCAGAGGAAGAGAGGAGAGGTTTGCTGTTTCCTATTTGCTTGGTGCTCATCCCCGTGTCACCATAGCAACAAAGCGTCCCCTGGCACTGAAGGCTGGTTCTAGTCTCCAACTTTTTTTTAGCACCACTAACAGGTTTCATCATGCTCCCTCAGAGATTTTAGTAACCACTGAATATTTGCCCTCCGCATAAATCCAAGACCCAGAATTTCTCTGAGACAACTCCTCTGAGCTGCTGAGGCTCAGCACCCGCTGGGTGTACCCTTCCCCTCAGAGGTCTGAGTCTGTAGGGTATTTCGGCCAAGTTCTAGACTTTAATAACTTCAACATCCCCAGTGAAGTGGATAATTACCCTTGAAAGTGTCTATTTTGGGGTTACTTTGATGGTCTCATTTTAACTTTTCAGTGTAACATCTGTTTAAGTAATCTGTAAATTAGGTTCTTGGTCTTGAATCGATGGAGTGACTTCCTGGCTGGATGCCGAATGATCCCTGGACTAAGGTTGTCTCCATTAGCTCACCTATATATTACTAAGGCATCTAAGGAACTTGCTTCTTTCTGTCCAGATCAACTCAGCATAATACCAGCGTGATGTTCTGTGAGATGTTGAGACGCTCAAATATCGCTGCTGATATTGGGACAGAGAGCGGGAAAGTTCATTTGGCCTCAGGTGAGATCATGAATGTGTACTGATGATCCCATAAATAAAATTTAAAAAGCTGTGGTCCCTGCAGATGTTATAGAGGTAAAAACAAAAACTACTTTCCAGATCATAGCAGCATTACATCTCCTGGAAACTATCATCTCACAAAATGTACAGAAACACGAGAGACCCATTACAAGTAAGTCTAGTAAAAAGCACTACCAAATACATTTCATTTTCTGATCTCCAGTGTCCATGTTAGTTGTGGCACTGAAGTACTTTTGTCTTCATCTATATTTAACCGGTAGGGGATCGCACCTAAAACTGTAGTATTTCGTAGTTGTCCCAGAGGTGGCTTAACTGAAATGTTTTGGTTCAGGATTTATGGAAAAGATGCTTTTAACACTTCTACCATCTCCAACCTTTTAAAGTTGAATGGGAGAAATAAACACATTGTATCAGCTAGGGTTCAGTAGAGGACCAGATACAACATAATATAAGAAAAATTTACAAAGCAGGCTGATAGTGGTCCCCTGCCTGTGCACTGGAGAGTGGGCAGCTCCACTTGAAAGTCATAGACCTGAAGCTCACTGCAGGGTCAGAGAGAGTCTGTGTGGGAAAGCTGACGGGTCTGCTGTACAGGAGAGGAATGTCCAAAGGGGATGGCAAAGACCAGAAAGCCTCTGAAAAAAGCATAAGGGTAGGCTTCCTTCTTTCCCTTTTTATTCCATCCAAACTACTGGATAGTGCCACTCACAATTCATTATCACACAAAGGAACTAGAATGGTTGTTTATAGTTAAACAGACAGAATTGCCTGCTTAAGAATGTACCTACTATCTATATTACTATTCAAATAGTTTATGATCCAATATTACAATCAGTCTTAAAATGATTACATGATTTAGTAATTTAATCATTTACTTTACTATGTTGATTTCATGTTAAACTTAAATTTTGATTAACTTTGAAGTGATGAGTCTTTGTTGTTCATCTCTTCTTAGTGTAAGTTACTCTTTTATATTTAGGTGACTTGTCATTACAGCTAATAAGTCAGTTACAACTGATAATATCCACAGTGAGCTATAACCATCACTTACAAGTGAAAATTCCAATAGGAACAAAATTCCCCTCTTTCGCCTTCCATACATATGGAGACTTAAATTTACACCTTTCTAATTACTCTGTGAGGCTGTATAGGGGTTGAATTAAGAAACACAAAATGATGGCGGAAAAAGTGAGGCTGCTTCATCTTGTACTCTGGTTGCTAAAGATTGAGATATAAAAAATTAGTGCACTAATCAAGGCAACTAATGCTAGCTACACCACACAAACTCAGAATTCTCAGTGACAGCACAGCAAGGATTTCTGTCTTTCCGGCATTTCCTATTTACCATGGGTCAGTGGAATGGGAGACAGGTTTCACATACATAGATCCAGGGTTGTGCAGGTGTCCCTACTGGACCATGTGGCCTCCAGCATTGCTGCGGGAAACAGGGAGCTGCAGGACGTACACTGGCTCACAGCCTGCAAGTAACACGTCACTTCCACTCAAGTCCATTATATACTGTAGTCTCATGCTAGCTATGTGAAAATCCTAGGCCAACAGAGGAGCCCAAGGACTATTTAGCCAGCAGAGTGCTAGCCATCTCTGCTGTCTTAGAAACCCTTTGTGGAAAGGGATCTGATCTGCTTGGATGTGCAGCATATTTGGAGATGAGGAAAGATTTCATATGCCTTGTCCATGAAAATTCAACCATTGACTCAACTGGGAAAATTCAACTAATTCCATCAATTAAAGGGGAAATGGTCTCAGAGATTTTCTCTATCAATAACTATATTTCTTCATACTTTTCCATTTTTATCTCTTGGTTTGTTAACTCAGAACTTTGACCTTACATAACTGGGAGAAATCAAATAAATTAAAAACATTTCCTTCTAGTGAGAGGAGAGCACTCCTACTTTCATTCAACATCACCAGTAGCAGGCTTTAAGTACCCACCTAAAGATGCAGGGCTCCTTCCCAATTCCTTGGAAAATAAAAAACATGAACCAAGTTGTGAGGAGATTAAATAAGATGGAAATACATACACACCTTTGGCATGAAATATCCATTTCTTATTGCTGTCTATTGCTGTAAAATAGAACCATTCTAAACTCAGTGTATTGAATGACTGAAAAAATATTTGTTTTCTCACAGTGATAAGGCATAGTCCTCGGGTTGGGCTCTGGTAGTTCCTCTCTTAGTTTTTGTGTCACTCACGTGGCTTCTGTTTTCTGGCTGCTAGACCAGAGCTTCATGATCCAAGAGGGCGTCACTCACATACTTGGTTATTGGTGCTGGCTGTTACTGTGTGGTTCTCTCCACGTATTTTCATCTCTAAGAAGTGTAACCCGGGTCTCAGCACATGGTGACCTCAGGCTTTCACGTGGAAG